TTCATCCATTTAAATAGCTCAATGATTTGCCAATGAAATTCATATTACGTATAACTTATTGAAGAGCTTTTCAATTTCAGCGATTCCATTGAATAGAGATACCTTAGAGAGCTAGAAAAGTTGACAGATATAGCAACAAATTTATAGCAACGCTCCCGGAAATTTTCAAACAATCTGCCGAACATGCGTTGGTCATAAAAACTGAGTAGATCGGAATTTAGAGTGCTTTTAACATTCGATAAGCATATCTGATCAATGAGCATCGGAGGAAATGAAGGAAACATTATGTGAACTCACACAGAACTCACGGACCATTAGGCAGCTTCGTAGTTGAGTGTTTGTTCGAAAATTGCAAAGAGGGTGATGAGAATTACTCTTTCCAAGCAAGAAAAAGCATTCAAGCATTTCAGAATAACGAGAACGTCGACGTAATCAAGCTCCTGCTAGACCGATCCACCTTCCAAACAGATATGGTGAGTTAACGTTTCGTGACAACAGTTTTTCACCTCTCCGCGACCTCGAAAGACTTCTCAAAATGGCTTTCATTTCTTCAAATTTCGTGACTTCCGAAACGCTCTTCGACGGAAATATCAACAATCCTATTTCGGATTCATCCATGCTGGAATGCAAGATGAGTCCGAAATGAAAATTCGCGTATTCTCTGTTCTCTTCGTTTGAAATAGCGTGACCATTGCAAAATTTTAGCAACTTTTAAATTGTGATCATTGATTCCAGAGCAAACGCAAGGGTGCCATATTGGATTCACGGCAGATCAGCAATAATTGTTTCGCGTTTCTGCTGGCTGGTTACGAGACGACCAGTACATCTTTAGGATTTACCGCATGGCTCCTTGCAAAACATCAACGCCAGCAAGAAACACTTTTCGATGAACTCAACGAAAACTTGCGCAATTTGGTTCGTTTCTCAATTGTGCAGCATTTATGCACGATTCAAATCGCGTTGAGATTCAAATTGCGTAAGCAAATTCGGGCGAAAAACGACTGTCAATTGCGTCTGTTGATTATCTTGCAAGCAATTCGCTTCTTCCAGGAAGGTGATGAGTTCTACGACACTGTGATGAGTCTTCCTTATTTGGATGCAGTTTTTCACGAAGCTCTACGTATGTATCCACCAATTACATTGTGAGTGAGTGTACACACACAACATTTCGTATTTCTTCCAATCGTTATCTGTTTATAACGTTTTGTTTCCAATTAACACCTCGTAATCCTTTGGTCTACTTTATGAACATTCCAAATGTTCTCGAGTCATAACTCCGTGAGTTTCAATTGCTGCTAACACCATCATAAAAGAAGAGAATTAGTTAGAAAGCACTCCGTGATATTGCTCGCATTGCAACTCTTCCGGAGATAAGTGATTATGCTTGAAATTTTGTTTATTACCATTCCTTTTGAGTTTGAATAATCTAAACATCACTGAATAAAATTTCAGCTTTGTGAATCGAACTTGTACCAAACAATGTAACGTCGATGGGATTAACTTCCGTCCTGGTATTCAAGTTGCAGTGCCGATTTGGAATATTCATCGAGATGCGAAAAATTGGCCTCAACCTAATGCCTTCCGACCAGAAAGGTTCAATCGTTTGAAATGAGATTATATCGAAAAAACGATTCAATGAAACTCGAAAACATTGATCATTTCCGTTGTCATTAATGCATGAGTATTAACAGAGCCGGAAACTGATAGTAGAAAGAGACGGAAACCAGTGACTGACCAATATTTGCGCTGGGCTGCATTGTATTCCTTTGCAATGATTGATAATTATGTGTCGAATTTCGTCCGTCTAATACAGGTTTTACAAACGAAAGGATTATCATCCAATGTCATGGCTACCGTTCGGAAGTGGACCGAGAAACTGTGTCGGTGTACGGTTCGCAGCAATGGAATATAAGCTCACACTCGCGCGCCTGCTTCTTCACTATCGACTCGTCTTTGGTGCAACTTCAGAGGTTTGTTTGAGATCGATGCACATGAGTCCACATCAATCCTCAAAGCACGTGGTGGATTTATATCACATTTTATCGACTTTAACTAAGCATCCGGTACATAGCAATAGACGTGAATAAATCAATAAGTAATTGGATTTTAGAATGAGGGGAGAAAATATTTTTGGAGACCTATGTGAGTATTTTACTCGTACTAATGTTTGTAATGATCTGGAGAGAATGTAATAATGATGCCGAAAATTTTCAGGATCCTCTTCCGTTGAAGAATTCCACTGCAATGTTGAGCACAGATCATGTCAATGTGTGCCTAGAGCGAAGGTCTTAACCTTAACCATTAGACATTCGTTCTCTGCTTTCATATATGCTCACTCTAGCTGTCATATCATCACAGCGACTTCATGTTTCGTGGAACAATTGACCAGTTTCGGATGCTTCCACGGATAAAATGCCAAAACAAAATCATAAGTAATCGATGTGATGTTCGATGTGATTCTTTCCTTAAACATACATTGATAACTGAAATCATAATATAATGATCGCATTGATATATTATTGTTGCATTAACGACTGATGCGAATGTTGTAATGATTTGATAAGCAATTATCTTAACTAGTGACATTTTTGCGCTAGTCATTCAACTTGTCAATGTTTACAGCTGTTTGGATTATATTTTCGCAATGTTCACTCACTTTCAGGATTGCAAGAGCACTGCATAGAAGATTAGCTAGATCATTGTCTAGATCATAGGCTTGCATTTGATTGCAGTGAAGCGTATGGATAGCTTTACCTAGATTGCAGAGAGGTTTTTGCAAATTTCCAAGGATAGATCAAAACAATGTTTTCAAACGGTTGTGAACCTCGCAGTTGAATAGAGATGAGACCGAGAAACTGAACAAAATTGTTGATTGCGAGAATTTATGAGATGATCTGGAAAGTAGATTTCGATTATGTTGGGATTTTCGCTCATTCCCATGTTATTCACGGTCATTTATTCATTCTGCAGCGTAATCCTTTACAGATGCTTGAAGTCAAGTTGACATTCATTAGGCAGTAAAGGAAGTTGACTTCTCGAATGCAGTTCAGTGCAATCCTAATCGCATTATTCATCTGCATTGTGTATAATTTCAAGAAAAATATTTGTTCACTTCTCCCTGACGCTGTTCGTGATGTATTGTACATAGAGAGTTGAATGGCTTTCATATTGAAATTTATAATATTCCTGCGAGAATCATGACATAACAGCAATGCATTATGTTGAATATGATTCGTATTTAAACTACACATTGCAACTATAATCACGTAATTATGCTTACTTTTTGCAGTTGTGGTTATTCAGCATTTGTCATTATTCAAACGATAAATAATTATTTCCTCTCTTGTTGCAATTCACTCAGCTATTTTCCTCTTTTTTGTTTTTTTTTCCTACAACGAACATAGATGGTGCGCCTTAAAGGTGCATCCTTGTTCTTTTGTTGATCACCAAGAGGTCAAAGCATGCAGTGAGGTATTAGAACGAAATAGTCAGGATGTAAGAAGTGGCTCATAAATATAGCTGGATCCTTCTGAGTTCGAATTTTTCACATGTTTTCGAGAAAGTTGACAATCCGTTCTGCATACTGGTGTGAAAAACTGACGATTTAGGTGGTGAAACGTGAACGGAAAATCTTCCTGAAGATGATGCTCCTTGTATGCCATTGGTTGTGAGTTGTGTTCATGAAAGCAGCTCGTCTATGTTTCCGAAAAAATCTGTGAAGAGGGAATTTGTGTGCTTTCCTGTAGCTCTTCGTTAGGATCGGCTTCATCTCATTTAATTAGAGAATCTTGAATGTGCTTATCAACATGTTCTGAGCATAGCGATGGTTTGAACGTGAATATCCTTCTCATTTCTAACATATCCAATGCCAAACGATAGGAAATGGAATGAAAGTGAAGTTAGCGGATGCGATGAGAAATGCAAACCTCTCTTAAAATCCAAGCAGTCCTGCTAAAAACTATGAAAAGATGAAGCATAACACATCAAAAGTTGTTATGAAGTGGAGAGCACATAGTATATTGTGCATTGTGAATATGTTTGTGGACGAATCGTTCAGCAGATTCAAAACGTGAAGAATGCAGTAAATCTAAGAAAAGCATTTCTCTCAACAGACGCACACATCCAACGTAATAATACTAAAATTTAAGCTGCTGCATGTTTAGTTTCTGTTGTTATTACACTCAAGTTCTAAACACACGACTCACCTAATTGATTCGCAGCAGCAATAACTGCCCGACATAATATAGATATCAGATTTTGAGCAGTGTTGCTCATATATTTCGTGGCTTCTTCAAACATCTTGTCTGCTCACCACTATGTTTTTCGTAATTGTGAACAATTGCATTGCCCAGTGATTGACACCAATCAGTTACCTGTGTTCCCCGATTGCACACTGCTTCATTCATTTCGATTCTTCCAGTCAACAGCGGAATTTTTCATAAATGTTTCACAGTTTCACCAAGTTCGAATGAATTCTGTCTCTTTTGTCATTTCCTTCGACCATCGACTAATCAGTAGAAGACCGATAAAATTCTGGAATGGTTCGTAATGCAAATTGTGTTTTCAAGCCTCCGGAACCCTGAGTTTCGGATGATGTTTCTGTCCGTACCAATGGTTTAGTTACAAGAGGATTATGAGATTATTGTTTGATCAGTTATTATAAAGTCTATTTGCTGTTGGAGACCAATGAATTTGGAAATTCTTGAGGTTTTTATGAAATCCATGTGACGTTCATTTCACGAAATGAACTGGTTGGTTGTTTTGATCACGGAAATGATATCATTACAAGAGAGTGAATCTGTGTGAATGCTCGCAGAAGATCTCGATCGATCATATGCGTCCCAATCTCAACAAGCAAAGAATATCTCTGACTTGAAAACTTTTCACCTTTTCTATAACGGTTGTATGGTTGGCTTTGTTGCGTTGGTGGATAAGTGTGGTTATTATGTGAGATATAATGTGAACACTGGATAAAAGAACGTTCCTCTCGTGTTACTGCTGTTCCGTTCTATTTATTCTTCTCGCTCTCATTATCCCGATATAAAATTTTTCGCCTGAACAAAGCCATTCAGCTATTTAATAGAGGTATTTTGCAAAATCATCATTGTTTATGAGATATTTCGTTNATTACAATCACAGTGTTATATTCATCAGTTTTTTTCATGGCATTGTTGTGTTTTCATTTGTTGCTGTTTATACTGCTTCATCTTACAATTGTTGCTATCGTTTGAACAGTATATCCATCAATCTCATCTCTATCCTCTGCTCGAACAACTTTTCGTTCGCAAATGCACATACATACGCACGAAAAATTCCTTTGTCAGTTTTCATTTATTCAAATAGAAACTTTGTATTTTATCATCTGCAACACGCCATCATCAGATCATCAAATTATCATACACCAACCTTTTGCAATCATTGCAATATATGGCTATAATAATGAATAAGTAGGTAATCCAAAAATCGATAACTGTAATACAATAGGGATTTGGTGCACACTTCACTCAAAATTTCCAAACAATGCGAATTGGGCGAAATGCTTCAACTTTCAAGACGTGTTTCGAACACAGCTTTGCCTCATTTCTGCATCAATCGGTAATGAAGTACGAAGTTATCTAGAGACTCTATCGAGTGTTTGTCCTTATAAATAGTCAAATACTGGCTATTGTTGAAAGTGATTGAGCGTAAGTTTTTGCAGTTGCTGCTCATTAGTTTCCGTGAGAAGTTGCCTGAAATTTTTTTAACTGTCCACATTCCATCATCTTATATTTGCATATTATATGAAGTTCTGTACCACTCTCTCGAGTGTATATTGTCGAGTGGAACCACTCGAAGTTGATCGAAACCAATGAATTTTTGTTGCTGCTTTCCACGTTCGAACCTCGATCACCATAACCTTATGCTTTTATAGTTTCACTTTTTCATTCGAACCTCTTCGTAGTCAACATCTGTTCTAAACAAACTTTCCGAATTGTTGGTTGGCATTCATCGCAAATGCATTTATAAGCGTCTAAAAACATACTTCATAATAACTCATTTCAACGAGACATTCTCTCAAATCAACAGAACGCAATATTGAATTGTCGTTCCGACTCTAAAATCGTTTGAATTATTTAATTTCTTAATGAGATTGGTCTTCGACTCATTCACAGACTGATTTCTTATCGAATAACTTCTACATAATTCGAATATTTTGCCGAAACTCGTAAGTCGTTTCGTTGGTTTTAATGATCACATTGAATCAAGTGATCGAAGTCGTTTGCAATGCAGATTTATTTGCGTTTATTGTGTTGATCGTGTTTCACTTCTAGCATTTTACAGCATTCTAGCATTCAAGAAATTTTCACGATGTGTATAGCGGCTATAGCAAATCAGAACCAGTTGAGCGCTTTGATGAGAATGAGCGAGCGCGCCATGAAATATGGCATTTGTCTGGATAATACTGCTTAATTTTATGTGAACGCATCTAAGTCAGGTTTACAGCGGTTAGTTGGAACAGCCAGGGTGAACTAACATGAACAACAACAGTGAATGAACATTTTCACTCGTGCAGATAGACACTTGCATATAATAACAAATAAATCAAAAACAACAGGTGTTATTCAGACACATCATTGCTTACAGCTAGCAAGAAAGCTTGCTGGTGAGTGATTAAGGTTTAGCAATGGACCGGGGGAGGGACTCAGACTGGCTGATATTCCCATTAATTTGACATTCCCATCAGTATGAAGCAGAATAGTTGTACATGTGGAAATTACGCGATAATTATACGTGAATATTCAATTGAGCCAGGCAATTCCAGCAGCATCGATACGAGGATTTCGCTTCGGATTTCCATGAAACCGGTCGCTTATCAAGTATTGTCTATGTCAGCCATTCAAATTTTCAAAATTAATCTGTAGGTT